ATCGGGATCGGTTGCTGGAGCAAGTGGACTTAAACCTGTCGTTAAACCCCCAGCCCTCGGACAGTATCCGCCATATTTAGCTGGAATGGCAAATGGTAGGTGCTAACTATAAAAGTTTTTATTTAAAATGTATAGTCTAAAAGATGCCCAGCAGACGTCTAATTCTAGGACCCAAGATTAATGGCCCATAAAGACGTACGAGTTATTTGCAATTTCATTTGCAGGTGGACCCCATGATCTCCAAGCGGCCGCTGCAGCGGCAGCTGCTGCCGGACCCTACGGCCCCTTGCATAATAACCTTCCGCCCACGTTGAACAATTATCCACGACCCCCTCTTCAAGTGGGCTACGACCCTCATTCGCAAATGCGTGCACCTGTTGTACCTGGTCTAGCAGGAATTCCCGGTGGAAAACCGTAAGTGCTCAGCCCCCAAAGAAACAAACTCACCCTTTCGTTTTGTCGTTTCCCTTCTGCTGTTAATGTTTTAATAAATCGTTTTAGGGCATACTCATTCCATGTAAGTGCCGATGGTCAAATGCAACCAGTGCCATTTCCTCCAGACGCCTTGATCGGTCCAGGAATACCAAGACATGCCCGTCAAATTAACACCCTGAGCCATGGGGAAGTTGTATGTGCTGTCACGATCTCAAATCCCACTAAATATGTTTACACTGGGGGGAAGGGGTGTGTTAAAGTGTGGGACATCAGTCAACCAGGGTCAAAAAGTGCTGTTTCGCAGCTAGATTGCTTGGTGAGTGCTTTAGTTTTTATCTTCTTGTATGGTCCTCGAATGTAGTACTATTTTTACAGCAAAGAGACAACTATATTCGATCGGTGAAGTTGCTTCCTGATGGGAGGACCCTTATAGTTGGGGGTGAGGCAAGTAATTTATCGATATGGGACCTGGCGAGTCCCACGCCTCGTATCAAAGCTGAGTTAACATCAAGTGCTCCTGCTTGCTATGCATTGGCCATCAGTCCCGATTCGAAAGTGTGCTTTAGTTGTTGTTCAGACGGGAACATAGCCGTTTGGGACCTCCACAATCAGACTCTAGTGCGACAGTTCCAAGGACATACCGATGGAGCCTCGTGCATTGATATATCAGCGGATGGTACCAAACTTTGGACCGGTGGTCTGGACAACACCGTGAGAAGTTGGGACCTTAGGGAAGGAAGACAATTACAACAGCACGACTTCAGTTCCCAGATCTTTTCTTTGGGCTATTGTCCTACAGGAGAGTGGTTAGCAGTTGGAATGGAAAATTCGAACGTTGAAGTGCTTCATGCAGCAAAACCAGACAAGTATCAGCTGCACTTGCACGAAAGTTGTGTCCTGAGTCTTCGGTTTGCTGCGTGTGGCAAATGGTTTGTTTCAACGGGTAAAGACAATCTCCTTAATGCCTGGAGAACACCTTATGGGGCAAGCATATTCCAGGTAGGTGTTACTTTGCACCTAATAATAATTAATAAGTGCAAATGATAATGAAATATTCCTTCGTTTTCTTCCAGTCAAAAGAATCTTCGAGTGTACTCAGTTGTGACATCTCGGCAGACGATAAGTACATTGTGACGGGGTCGGGAGACAAAAAGGCGACAGTTTATGAAGTGATGTACTAACGAAAGTAGGTACATGCAGAGAACGCCAGAAAGAACACCCACAAACAAGATAGAAGAGGAGAATTGTAGATCGAATTACAATTTGGTATTAATAGGATTAGAAAGACATGAAAACAAATATCGGCTTATTATGGGTAAAACGATGAATTAAATAGTACATACATATTTATTAAGTTATATAAAATGTTGTGATAATAAGTGTAATAACTATAATAATAATAATAAAACAAAGACTCTGGTAATGCAAATGCATTTGCTGTTGCAAAAGGGCTAAAAGAATTTTTTTCTTTTGATTCTCAAAGAAGAAAAAGAAAAAATTAGTTTGATGACTAATGACGATAATGATGTCGATGATATGAAGAAGAAAAGAAAAAGGTTTTTACTTTTTCAGTGATCTCCATGACATGTAAAATACTTAATGATGTTTTAGTTTTAGAATTTAATTAACAACTANACAATTATTAATAATTTGTTAAACCTAACTCTAACTCCACTTTTTTATCTGTTTTTAATGTTTTATTTACATTGTGAATTGTGTGTTATTACCTCAAATAATTACGTTTAAATTGTTTAAATAGTTTGTATAAATAAATAAATAAATTAATGGTTCTGTTATCGTTTTTAGTTAGTAATTAGATAGTACGTAAGTGTGGTACATATCAATTACGGCATTTATATTTTGTTTCACAAAATATCTAGCTCTGTTTGATAACAATATCAGCGAAAAGATTTAGTCACAGATTAATTTCGTTACATAATTAGAGATTATTTTTTAATTAGGTACAAAGTCAATCAACAGATGCTGATTTTTGAAAGTATACCGTACGATACCAAAAAAATGGTGAACTAGTTCTAAATATTCTTCGACTAACATTTCATTCTAACGAAAACAAATTTCGCATACATAAACTAGATCGACAAAGTGATATTTCTAAAATGCTCTATAATTTGTCGCTCCAGTTGATTATTGAAAAATAGACGAAATTTTACGTTCATATCAAGCTGGAACTACACATAGGGATCTTGACATAGAAATGGTGTATAGAATACTGTAAGGACTATAATTTGTCGTTAATTTGTCGCTTACAAATGGTACTTTTATCCATTTTGTCGCTAGTCTATCTCATAACTGTTCAGCGAAAAACGACTGAATATATGGAGTAGATATTTCGAACTAGAAATAACGTAGAAAAATATTGTAAAGCCTATAATTTTGTCGCTAAGTTGTAGCTTAAAGATGGCATATTTATCCATTTTGTCGTTAGTCTTTTTCATAACTATTCAGCGAAAAACGACTATCAACACATGGAGTAGCCATCTCGGAATAGAAATGGCGTAGAAAAATATTTCAAGGGCTATAATTTTGTCGCTGACTTGTCACTTAAAGATGGAACTTTTATCCATTTTGTCCTCTAACTGTTCAATGAAAAACGACTGTCGACACATGGAGTATCTCTAAATAGAAATGGCGTAAAAGAAGTATTACATTGACTATAATTTGTCGCTGAAATTTGGTAAATTTACCCATTTTTTCACAAGTGCAGCTTCGAATTATCCAGTGAAAAACAACTGGAAAGCCGAGATACAGTATGTGCAGTATCAGTTTGATATCATGCTAGCATTTCATTTGTTTTCCACTAATCGGTTGGACCGACAAATTTTTGGATTCGGTAACAAGTTAGCGACAAATTATAACACTTGTAAAGAAGACGCTGGTGGCTACTCCCTGGTACAGAATAAATATAAAGACCTTCGGCTGGACTATTAATGCCTGTGACTGCACCAAAACAACGCTTATACATACAAATTATTTATAAAAGTATATGTATACAGTAAGTTATTTATATCAGCACATGTTTAATTCACACGTTTTATAAATAGAAACTTATCAATCACTAAACCCTATAACAAAGGTTGTACTACCATACGTATAAAAATTTTTGGTGGAGGCGCCGGGACATCTTCATTTTTATTGCTATAAGTTAACTTTAATTGTTAAATAATTGCATAAGGTAATTGGAATTAATAAATTTATGAACAGAAGCATAAAAAGCAGTTGTTTTATTGAGAATTTTCGGAAAGGGCAGAAATTCACCACGAATTCTGACAATACGAAATTCACCCCTTATTTATATTTATGTACCTTACGCTATAGCCTCTTCTGTCTCTACTTCTAGACCTTATCGATAATTTTATGTTCTGTTTAGTAATTATATTACAATACAAATGTTTATTGTAATTCATATATTGGATTTCTTACAATTATTGTTATTCGTTGTCGTTAATACCACGAAAAAATCAGACATTTTGGAGGGAAGATTTTATATTAGCTTATTTCTCAGAAACTTCGGAGAAGAGACCTTCTTCTCATCCATAAAATCTTTTATGATTTAAAGCAATAAAGTTTTGTAATGCCCGTTTTGTTTACCTGCGTGTAACAATAGAATTTTAGTTCGATGAAGTGTGAAGACCTCCAACAGCGATGGGTATCGTCATGATTTGGCAAAAGGACTTACAAATTATACTAAGAAACAATGTCACAAACTTTCTCTATACCTGACAAGTTTTATTTAACCGACAACTGTATATATACATTTAATATTTAAGGAATCAAAAAATAACTTTTTAAATGTTGCAAGTAGGACTTAACATTAATAAAATTAGGAAAAATTATAAAGAACTATAAACAATTATCACTGTTTACTCTTGATGGCTGCTTATTAATTTTATTAGAAAAAGATAACTAATAATAAGCGAAATTGCGTTAATTTTTGTCACTAATAAGTTCGTTTTGAATAAAATACGAAATTTGTTGGGTGCCCTTAGATATAAAATTGTTTATAAGGTTTCAAAGTTATCGTAAATATATCTATCCCTTGAAATATAAAACAAGAGACTTTAGGTAAGTACATTAATAAATAAAGGATAAATTTTGATCCTTAATTAGTTATACACACTGTTTAAATCGTCGTGTCGTAACTGGTGGTGAATTTCTATTTCCTTAAATCGCTATTTTATTCAAATAACCACCCATTTAACAATAACATGTTAATAACTAGTTAATAACTATTTAAATTCATAAGAATAATACCGTTTTATATAATATATACTAATTTTAAACCTGCTTTTCAGACGATAAAGAATGCAACTAGTTATATAGGCAACCCGTCATGACGTAACTGAAAATTTTCTATTTTAGGCAAAAAATAACAAGTAATTCTTACAAAAACAATTGTTTTCCATATGTTTGTATGGTCTTTATATTTATTCTGTACCAGGGAGTAGCCACCAGCGTCTTCTTTACAAGTGTTATAATTTGTCGTTAACTTGTTACCGAATCCAAAAATTTGTCGGTCCAACCGATTAGTGGAAAACAAATGAAATGCTAGCATGATATCAAACTGATACTGCACATACTGTATCTCGGCTTTCCAGTTGTTTTTCACTGGATAATTCGAAGCTGCACTTGTGAAAAAATGGGTAAATTTACCAAATTTCAGCGACAAATTATAGTCAATGTAATACTTCTTTTACGCCATTTCTATTTAGAGATACTCCATGTGTCGACAGTCGTTTTTCATTGAACAGTTAGAGGACAAAATGGATAAAAGTTCCATCTTTAAGTGACAAGTCAGCGACAAAATTATAGCCCTTGAAATATTTTTCTACGCCATTTCTATTCCGAGATGGCTACTCCATGTGTTGANCAATGTACAGTATCTACAGTGTCTAGGTTTCTTGGCCTTTTTTAGTCAGTTAGTAATTAAAAACTGGATGTCTAGTACACCTACACAACTTTTCGAATTCAAATTCTCTTTGTATGTGCAAGACAAGCTAAATAGTAGACCACTTACTTCAAATACTTAAATGTGTTCATAAAAATCACGAAATGATTGTGGTAGTACTTAATAGAGAACAAATCTATTATAACATAACTTAATTAATTTTATAAAGTCGTCGTTTTTTCATTGATAAAATCGCCCCATGGAATTTAATAATTTGTTGCATTCAAGATATGTTTTCTACGACATATTTTTTAAGACATTTGTTTTGTAACATTTGTAATAATTATCAGGAAAAAAAATGCTGTAAAATTCATTTGACACTGCAATAGAACTAGGACATTTATTTTGTATACCTCAAACGTAAGCAGAAATACCTGTATGTGACAAGAAAATGCAAATTAAATTTATTTTTTGCTATTGTATGCTGTTGTTTTATTTTCCTATTTCGATAATCAAAGTCGTGATGCAATATTTACTTGTAGGTACGTACATACACAATAGAAGACAAACAATGGAGATTCCTATTAGAAAATACTACACAAATCACAATTAGTGATTGTCTAATAAATTATTGGAAAATTTGATATTTTGATATAAATACGTATAAAGAAAATAACAGTCAACAGTCTCAAAAGTCAACAAAAAATAAAATAAATATTAGTAATAAAACAAATATACACGTTATCAGTCAATTGCCACCCTCAGTATTTTTATTTTTAATAATGACAATCTATACTTTTGATAATAAAAATTTTTGGTGGAGGCGCCGGGTACAATTTCTTTTATGGCACTAAATTACGTTTAATTAACAAATAATTGTTCAAATTGAATATAATAATTATTATTATGTACCCAGACATGATAAACAATTGTTTTAGTGGGAATTAATCGTTATTTTGACACAAATTAAAACAAAAATCATTTTGGTCATAATGGGTTGCCTATCCTACTTCATATCACTACCTAATAATGTCGATTTAATTTGAGTAAAAACTTTATAACGATATTATTCATATGCATTGAATTAGTGATTAATACACCTTATTAGTTAAATCTTTCTGCTATTAATTGAAAGAAATTATTGAAATAGAATTATGAAAAATTTCAAGTATTATAAACATTTTTACTACTAAAGACGGTGTTATTATTAAAAACAAATATTCAAATTTTGTATATTCTTGATTCTCTACTATTAGAGAGTGATAACTGATAATAAGCGTTAATTTTTGTCAATAATAAAATTGTTTTAAATAAAATACGAAATTTGTTGGGTGTCTTCAGATATAGAATAAGGTTTGAAAGTTATCGTAAATATATCTATCCCTTCAAATAACCTCCCATTTAAAAATAACATGTTAATACCTGGTTGATAACTATTTAAATGCATAAGGATAATATAATTTTGTATAATTTATACTGATATTAAACCTGCTTTTCAGACGATAAAGAATGCAACTAGTTATATAGGCAACCCATCATGACGAAACTGATAATTTTCTATTTTAGGCACAAAATAATAAGTAATTCTTACAAAACCACCTGTTTTCCATATGTTTGTATATAGTATTATTAATTACATTCATTGTATACAATTATTTAACGATTAAATATAATTTATAGCAANAAATCAGACATTTTGGAGGGAAGATTTTATATTAGCTTATTTCTCAGA